CATGCATTCATGCTATAAACTCTAAGTAAGCTGAGATCAGAAGGGAATTTTGGTAACTTAATAAAGGTTATCTTCGATAAACATATACTAAAGGTGAGACTTGAGAAGCTTTACCCTTAAAATAAAGAAAAAGACAGTGATTCCTTTATCACCACTATTATTTAGCAATGCAGAGAAGATCCTAGCCCAGAGCTTATTAAACTAGGCTATGACCCACCACCCCTAGGGACATTTGGAAACCTGGGTGGTGTTTTTATATGTAATAATGATGAGACAAATGGGTTGGGTTTGGGGGAGGTAGGCTGGCATGGATACTAAACATCCTGCCCTGCATGGGGCAGTTTCATCCAACAATTAATTGTTTGCCCAATATGACAGTAATAGCATCCTGATAGAGAAATAATTGAGTCAGTGTAGTAAGATAAGAGAAGAATTAGGTATGAGGATTAGAAAGAAAAAGCAAAACTATATTTGCAGACAATGTACTCATATAGAAAAATCAAATGAAATAAGTTATCAGAACTAAGAACCTCAGTTTAATAAGGTATCCTATTATGAAACCAACATACAAATATCAGTAATTTTTGTATGTATGAGCAATATGTAATTAGAAATATTATTGAGGGCTTCCCTGGTGGTGCAGTGGTTGAGAGTCCGCCTGCCGATGCAGGGGACACGGGTTCGTGCCCCTGTCCGGGAGGATCCCACATGCTGCGGAGCGGCTGGGCCCATGAGCCATGGCTGCTGAGCCTGCGCATCCAAAGCCTGTGCTCCGCAACGGGAGAGGCCACAACAGTGAGAGGCCCGTGTACCGCAAAAAAAAAAAAAAAAAGAAAGAAATATTATTGGGAAATCATATTTTTAATAGCAACAAATAACAAAGTCCCAGGAAAGCACTTAATAAAACATGCACAAGGCATTTATGGAGAAAAATATAAATTGTTCCTTAAGCACAAAGATTTGACCAAAAAAAAAGGAACATTGTGTTTATAAATGGGAAGACTCATGCTTGAATAGGTATTATTTCTCTCACAAGTATTTTATATCTTCAAGCAATTCTAATCCAAATCTCTACTCGCAGTGTAACCATGTATGTAAATCAGCATCTTTTCTCTTCCCAGAAATTATATAAAAGCAACAAGCACAACTCTAAAAGAACAACTCCCAAGAACAAATTCCATTCTCAGTGAAACTCACATATATATGAGTCTTTGAACCACTAAATACTTGTAAGGACTGTGAAAAGCAGCTGAGACTAGGTAGCATGGACTGTGGAAGAGGGTCAGGAGAATCTCAGAAAGCTTGAGAAAAAATATGCTTTGTGGAGGCAAATTTGGCAATATTCAGAAATATTTTAAATGATTGTATTTTGTGATTAGTTGCTAGGCTCTAGATCCTTCTAAGGTTCCTAGAGAAATTCATACATGGGCATAATGAGACCAGTATTAGACGTTTGTTGCAGCATTATTGTGTGTAATCAAAAAATTAGAACCAGGGCTTCCCTGGTGGCGCAGTGGTTGAGAGTCCGCCTGCCGATGCAGGGGACACGGGTTCATGTCCTGGTCCAGGAAGATCCCACATGCCGCGGAGCGGCTGGGCCCGTGAGCCATGGCCGCTGAGCCTGCGCGTCCGGAGCCTGTGCTCCGCAGCAGGAGAGGCCGCAACAGTAAGAGGCCCGCGTACCACAAAAAAAAAAAAAAAAAAAAAATAATTAGAACCAATCTAAATGTCAATTTGAGCAGATAGCTTAAATTGTGGTAGAGTCCTACAATGGAAGAATGAAATTACATCTCTATATATCAGCGTGGCCAGATTCCCAAAACAAAGCTGAATAAAAAAAGCAAATAACAGAATATTTATAGTAAAATACCACATATGTAAATATTAAATTAAAAATAATACTATATTTTCTTTACGTATAGTTCTTTTTCCTAGCTTCATTTAGACATAATTGACATGTAACATTGTGTAAGTTTAAGATGTACTACATGATGATTTGGTACACATATATATTGCAAAATGATTACCACAATAAGGGTAGTTAACACATCTATCACCCCACATATTTACTGTGTGTGTGTGGGTGTGTGTGTGGGTGTGTGTGGTGAGAGCATTTAAGATTCAGTCTTAGCAACGTTCAAGTATACAATACAGTTTTGTTAAGTGTAGTCAGCATGCTGTACATTAGCTCTCCAGAATTTATTCATCTTATAACTGAAAGTTTGTACCCTTTGACCACTTTCACCCATTTCTCCCACCACTTTGCCCCTGGTAACCACCAGTGTACTCTCTGTTTCTATGAATTCAGTTTTTTAGATTCCAGATATAATGAGATTATACAGTATTTAACTGTTTCTGACTGACTTATTTTGCTTAGCATAATGCCCTCAAGTTTCATCCATGTTATCACAAATGGCAGGATTCTCTTCTTTTTTTGTGAATGAATATATATATATATCACTATATATATATATATATATATATATACATCGCCTTATATATATCACTTTATATATATATATATCGCCTTATATATATCACTTTATTTATCCATTAATCTGCCGATAGACACTTCAGCTGTTTCCATGTCTTGACTATTGTAAATAATGCTGCAATGAACATGGGGTGCAGATACCTCTTTGATGTAGTGATTTCATTTCCTTCAGCTATATACCCAGAAGGGAAATTGCTAGATCATATGGTAGTTCTATTTTTAATTTTTTGAGGAACCTCTATGGAATTCTTATGGAACTATTTGCCATAATGACTGTACCAATTTACATTCCCCCCAACAGTGCACAAGGGTTTCCTTTTCTCCACGTCCTTGGCAGCACTTGTTATTGCTTGTCTTTTTTTTTTTTTTTTTTTTTTTGGGTAAGAAGTAGATTTATTAATATCCTTTGTAAAGAGGTTACAAGAAAATGGGGCTTGAAGAGGGTGGTCACGTCCCAGGTCTCGGGTGAGTTCCTGGGACAGGCCACCAAGTGAGGGTCCGTGGCTTCTCACAAGAAAGAATTAAACCATAGTAAAATGAAAGCAGAGATACACATTCCATAGACAGAATGCAGTCCATCTTGGAAGAGGAGCACGTCCTCTCTCTTCTCTTTGATAATAGCCATTCTAACAGGCATGAGGTGATATCTCACTGCAGTTTTGATTTGCAATTCCCTGATGATTAGTGATGTTGAACACCTTTTCATGTACCTGTTAGCCATCTCTGTATCTTTTTTTGGGAAAATGTCTATTCAGGTCTTTTGCCCATTTTAAAATCACATTGTTTTTTGTTTTGAGTAATATCTGTTCCTAATATATTTAGAATATAACCCCTTATCAGATATATGGTTTGCAAATGTTTTTGCCCAATTCATAGGTTGCTTTTTCATTTTGTTGATTGTTTCTTTTGCTGTGTAGAAGATTTTTGGTTTGATGTAGTCCAATTTGTTTATTTTTGTTTTTGTTGCTTGTGCTTTTGGTGTCATATCCAAAATATCATTGCCAAGACTAATATCAAGGAGCTTTTCCCTTATCTTTTCTTCTAAGCATTTTACATTTAAGTCTTTAATCCATTTCAAGTTAATTTTTGTGAAAAATGTAAGATAAGGATCCAGTTTCATTCTTCTGCATGTGAATACCCAGTTTTCCTAGCACCACTTATTGAAGAGACTGTCTTTTCCCTACTGACTATTTTTGACTCCCTTGTCAAATATTAGTTGACTACGCATGCATGGGTTTACTTCTGGCTCTTTATTCTGTTCCATTGCTCTGTGTGTCTGTTTTTATGCCAGTACTATACTGTTCTGATTACTGTAGCTTTGTAATATAGTTTGAAATCAGGAAGTGTGTTTCTTACAATTTTGTTCTTTCTTAACATTGCTTTGGCTATATGGGTCTTTTATGGTTATGTATAAATTTTAGGATTGTTTTTTCTATTTCTGTGAAAAACACCACTAGAATCTTGATAGGGATGTATCTATGGATGGCTTTGCGTAGTAGGAGCATTTTAAAAATATTAGTTCTTCCAATCCATGAACATGGGATATATATATATATTTTTTACTTGTGTCTTCTTCAATTTTTTTCATCAATGTTTTAATAGTTTTCACCGTATAGATTTTTCACCTCCTTGGTTAAATTTACTCCTAAGAATTTTATTGTTTTTGATACTATTGTAAATGGAATAGTTTTATCTCTTTTATAGATATTGTTAGGGTGTATAAATACAACTGATTTTCATGTATTGATTTTGTATCCTGCAACTTTATTTATTTATTAGTTCTAACAGTTTTTTGATAGAGTCTTTAGAGTTTTCTCTACATAAGATCATGTCATCTGCAAATGGAGATGATTTTACTTCTTCCTTTCTGATTTGCATGCCTTTTTCTTTCTTTCTTTTTTTTTTTTTTTTTTTTTGCTTGATTTCTCTGGCTAGGGCTTCCAGTATTATGTAAATAGGAGTGGTGAGAGAGTGCACCATTTTCTTTTTCCTGATCTTAGAGGAAAGCTTTTAGCCTTTCACTGTTGAGTGTGATATTAGCTGTGGGCTTGTCTGTATAGTTCATGTTTGTGTTTATTAGAGAGGGAGTATAGTGTAATACATAAGACCATAAGGGTCAGATTGCCATTTGCAAATTCTGAGTTTCACCACATACTAACTATGACCTTTCTGCAAGTTATTTTGATATTTCTTTGTATTTCAAAATATGGATTTTTCCAATAGAGGACATTCCAAGGTGTGATTATTTCATAATCACCTAATATCTTCAAATACTTTCTAGCATCTTACATGTAACTAAAATGTCTTCTGGCTGAATTGTTAACAAGAGACAGTGCAGGGCAGATAATAAACCCTGAGGCACATCTGGAGATGTATCCTGATATCATTTCATCCTGTCATAACCCTTGAATTTAAAGAGGACAGGAACTGAAAGGGAGTAAATTAAATACTGGTAGGTACATGAGTTTGTCTGTGTGTTTCTAAAGTGTTCTGCTTCATCTTCCAGGTCGAGGTCTCCCGGCAGGACAAGCTGAGGTAGAGATGATAGAACGTGCCCGGGAGAAGCGTGCTTGGGAAGCCACTCTCCCCACTCTGAGTGACACCTCCCAGTTTGAGAAGAGGAGGAGGATGATGAATGCCATGGAGAGGAAGGAGTGGGCCTTCAGAGAGCAGGAGATCGAAAAGTAGGTTCTTAATCACCCAGATAATTGCTTCTGCACAGATGGGATTAATGTTAATACTTTTAACATATAGAGAGTTTACCCAAATGTATGGGTTTAAAAGCAATCCTTAATCTGTAGAGTTAGGAAATTGGGCTTCAGGAGCAATAGCTCTATAATTTTCTCTCCAATAATATAAAAATGTATAATGCCTTCTTTGTGTGTGTAGTTCAGTGTGGAACCCAAATTTAAACAATTCCTCAAGGCATCTCTGATTCTTCTCTTCCCTTTTCTCTTTAGGGTCTTACCTAGAATCCCACTGATTTCTGAAAAATGTCTTTCAAACTGTCCTTTTCTGTTCATTCCCAGTGCCACGGTCCCTAGACTTTGGCCCTCTTCCTATCCATCCAACAGCCTCTTGGCTGACCCCATCTCTTTCCCCCTGGTACTGGATTCACCGTCAGTACACCTTGGGTTCTAGCTATAGCCAGTGAGGCATTTTTCTGTTTAAAAGACAAACAGTGGAACTTTTCAATTAAGAGATGAGCTCATAGTACATAAGTAATAATATGCTAAGGTATTTCTCGTTGAATTTTCAGTGATTTTAACTGATGTATTTTCAGTACTGAGGTTGTCTCTGGAATATGTAGAAATGATGAGGACCAAAAAATTACAGCTCCCTAGCAAGAAGGAAAGGAAAGGAAGTTTGAGGGTGCCATTTGTTCCAGGCTGTGCTGAGGTACTTCATTGCTCACAGAAGTACTACCAAGCCCCTGACAGTGTGCTTACACGCAAGCAAGCTAGGGACCAATAGAGTTAGGGATTCAGTGTGGTTCCGAATTCAAAATATGTTTATCTTTTTGCAACACCTTCTGATTAACCCTGAATGCAGACTGTGATGTTTGGTTAAAAGCTTGCAATTTAATAGAAAATAATGTTTGGGGAAGAGTAGGTGTCACATACTCAATCCTGTCTGCAGAAATTTAAATTTATTGCTGCAATTTGAAGAGGAATATTCTTGTCAGAAGGACATTAAGAATATTAAAAATGTATCTGGCCAGAATGAAGATATCACCTGAGAACATGAGTACTTTGGTTAAACTGAGGTTAATTTTAATAAATATATTTTGAGTCCCTCCTCAGGACTGGAAACAGGAAACTGCTTTACCCTGACAGAGCTCCTTATGGACCATTGGAACAGGGGGTGAGGGGTGGAAGGGGGGCAGGTGGGTGGGGATGGAGTGAAAGACCTTAAAACCAATAACTCACAGGCAGTATCTTCAGGTGATGTGCTGCTCTATACACAAAGAGCTAGGGGAACCCAGGCAGGAGAACAGTTAGTTCTGTTTGAGAACTAACAGATATTTAGTAGATATTTGGGAAAATTACTGAGATGAGGTAGCTTCTGAGCTGTATGTAGAAGGATGAGTAAAAAGCTATCAGGTAGATGATAATATTGATGATGGTGATGGAGATGATAATGATGATATTCATAAAGCATTCAACACTTACAGAGGGCTTATTTCATGCTTGAGCTAAGTTCTAAGCCAGTAGTGCTCAGAGTGTGGTCCACAGATGAGTAACATCAGCACTTACCTGAGAACTTGTTAGAAATGCAAATTCTCAGGTTCCATCCCAGACCTACTGAATCAGGGGGCGGGACACAGCAATTTGTGTCATAGCAAGTCCTCCAGGTTATCTGATGTATGCTCAAGTTTGAGAACTACTGTTCTAGCATGCTGTGTACATTCACTCATTTAACGTTCACAACAACCTTAGGGGATGGATACTATTATTATGTTCATTTTATGATTGAAGAGGCTGAGGTAAGTGATGAAGTTGAGAATTGAACCTAGGATTTCCAGCTCTAGAAAGAAAGGGGACTGTTGGTGTGTGCTTATTTTTAAAAACGCCTACCTCCCTGTATTTACTTGTCACTGTTTCCCTACCCTCCCATGTATATTCACTTTGAGAACCTCCACCAGTATAACATGTTTGCTCTGTCTCTAGTCCTTTTTTTTTTTTTTTTTTTTTTGCGGTTCGCAGGCCTCTCACTGCTGTGGCCTCTCCCGTCGCGGAGCACAGGCTCCAGACACGCAGGCTCAGTGGCCATGGTCCACAGGCCCAGCTGCTCCGCGGCATGTGGGATCCTCCCAGACCGGGGCTCGAACCCGTGTCCCCTGCATTGGCAGGCGGACTCTCAACCACTGCGCCACCAGGGAAGCCCTGTCTCTAGTCCTTTTGAGTAGAATATTCAGCTCTCTCTGCTGAGGCCGCACTTCTCCCTTGTCAATGTGGCAAATCTCAACCCTTGTTTATCCTCAAGTGCTGAGTTAATGGCTCCTGAAGGAAGGCTTCCCCACCATCCCCCTCCTTCCCTTTGATCAACTGGGAATAGTGCTAGAAGAGGCGCTCTGCCATTTCTTCTCCCACAGGAGTCTTTTCATTCTTTTGGCCTGGTATGTATCTCCCTGTGTTGTAAATGTTGGTTTATATGTCTACTCCACTAGAACAGTGCCTCTTGAGACAACGTATTTTATCTTGTTCACCATTGTTTATTCCCTGCCTGGCATAAATATTTGACAAATGAATGACTGAATAAATTACTGTGTAAATTTTTAAGTAAGAGTAAAATATTCAAATCTCCATTTTAGAAAGGAAAATCTTGACCACTATGTGGAACAAAGATTGGAAAGGGGAAAGACTAGACTAACAACCAGAGTCCAAGTCAGGAGAGAGATGACAAAGACGTGGGCTAGGGAACAGATGTAAGAAGTGTTTTAGAGAAGGAATCATTAGAGGAGGGAAGAAGGTTAAGAGAAGGGGTAGATTTCCGGGGGAATAGAATGAGTGAGGTTTTTTTGAGGTTGTCAGGGGATATAGCTGGAGATTCAAGTAGATAGAAGTTCTAGTTCAGAAATACCTGGTCTGAAGTACAAATTTTGAAGTCATATGTACACATAAGCAAGGTAGTCCTGGGAGAACAAGGTGAAGGGAAGGGAAGCGAAGAATAATTATCTATATGTGTCAGCTGCTGGCATTTTCACATTCACCACTTAAGGCTGCATGCCACAACCTCATTTTCTCTCACTCCTCCTATTACTTAACCCTCCAGCAATACCAGTCGACCTGGAACTATGCACAAACATTCGCTGTTCACTTAGGCCCATCTGCCTGGAGAACACTTTTTTACTCCATCTACCTAGCAAACTCTTTTTTGTCCTTCAGAACTACACCCATACATATTCCTCTTATACAGAGACTCACTATTGAGTTGCCACCCCAAACCCCCAATTCATTTGTCACACTTGTGCCAGAGTGGTCTTTTTAAGATACATGAATATGATACCAGCCCAAAGAGAAGCTTCTGTTTATGGCAAGTGTTCCCTTTCTCTGTAGTAGCGCACCCTATCTGAGAGATTGTAGACTTCTTTTATGTTTTGTGATTTACTTGAAGACTGCAGGAGATTCGCCTGGAAGTTCTAAAAGAGCTGCTGAAGAAGCGTGATGAGAATCAAAATGAAGTAAACATGGCGTGCTTGAATGCCCAGTGGTCTAAACTGCAGGAGGTGAAGGAGGCAAAGTTGGCACAGATTCACCACACACACGTATCAGGTGATGGTGCAGTATGAACCGTGAAAAGAATGGAAAAGTTGGCTCTGCTTTGGGTCTTTGACCAAACCTGATTTAACTGTGATATAATTCTTTTTTGGTCCTATTGTTAGTTAATAGATAAGGAACAGGAGATGAGTTATTTCTCAAAAGTAGAAGGGTGGAGGAAAATTCCTTACTAAGAAAATCAAGTAATTATGTTCTAACAGGTAGTCAAGTTATTGACATTATGGGGCGTGTGTGTGTTTGTGTGTGTAGGTGTTGGGCTCCCCATATTCATGGGCTGAGGCCCTGGATAGAGAGCCCTGTTTCTCAACTTTTTTTCATTGTTTCCACTAAAAAAGACATTCAGACATCTTTTTTCCAATTCATCCCCCTGCCATGAAATTTTAATACCACAGGTATACTGTGTATCTGTTTATGTACTATAAATATATCTGTACTTTATACATAAAAAGAGGAGTCAGTGGAGGGTTAAGAATAACTAAATAAAAAATTTAAATTAAGAAAATTTAACTTATTAGCATTTAGCTTTATTTGCTATATTTGCTGAGTGACTTTTAATATAATTAATTTACTTATAAAAATTGTAATGCATCGCTTATATATTGCAAATTAGCAGTTTATACACATAATAGCAATGTAATCACATTAAAAATTATTCAAAATATTTTTCCTAGCAAAACAATTACAAAAAATTAAGTTAATCCCTTAAAAATTATTTTTAGTGAACTTTTAAACTTTTTCTTGATGTGAGAAAATAACTTTTAACTTAACTAGCTGCACCTATGCATTTAGATACTGTCAACATTTTTTCTTTTCAGTAGTTGACATAACTAGTGATGGGTTGACTTTCTTTTTTTTTTTACTCCTCCTGTCCCTCTCTCTTACCCTCTGGGATCACTTCCCAAATAAACTACCTGTACGCATGCCTTTGTCTCAGGTTCTGCCTGTGGGGGAACCCAGGCTAAGGCACAACTCAAATGTCACTTCCTCAGGGGAGACCTTCAAGGACCCCCACCCCCAGATAAGTCAGGTCCCTGTTATCTGTTCTCACTGTTACATGCCCCTGAATTTTTGTGTGTGTGTGAGAAGATGACTTTTTACTTAACTAGGTGCTAGGTATGCATTTAGATATGGTCAACAGTTTTTTCTTTTCAGTACTAGATATAACCAATGATGGGTTGACTAATTTTTATAAATAACTATTAAAATGTAAACTATTTTTATGTAATTATGAAATCCCAAGTCACACACAGAAGCACTGAGGATCAAATATAAATAACATCCAAAAGGCAGCAGTGGCAAGTGCAACCACCTCTTTCAATTGTGACTTCAAAATCCCATATTGTTTTACACCCATTGAGAGTGCATGGTGTAGAGCCTTCAAAAGGGGATGGGTCTGTGATGGGATTGAAAGAAAAGGAACAGGTGGAAGTAGTAAGCCTGACTCCTCAGATGAGTAAACTCCTACAGTGTACAGCTGAGACTGCCAAACAATTCTGAAATCTATAAGCTTGGATATATTCTGATTTATTCTGGTGTTAGCCAAGATGGACAGAAATTTTTGAAGAACCTGTAGTCTTCTTTCCCTTTTAATTATTCTCTTAGGAGAGAATAATTCCCTCAGTCTCTACTGAAAACATGTAGTTTTCAGTTACTTTGAGTTTCTTTCATTCATTTGACAAACTTTCATTGAATACCTCTTTCTGGCCCAGAGCTTAGAATGCAGTTATAAAAGATTTTTGATGAGTACCAATTGAGAACACTAGCTGATTCACCTTCTGTCACGGCCACCTGTCTCATGACAATCTGGATCACACAGATGTCAGATATATGTTTTAAGTGTTCTGGCTGCAGTGAGTGATCATAATGAAATTCATTCAGTTCAGTAGCCTTCCTGTGAATAAAACTATGGTTTACTAGTCTGCATTTGGACCATTCAGAACAATATTTTGGAGATAGTCATGGAGGTATGTTTTATTTTAGCAATCAGAAAACTTTTGGGAAAGGGAAAGAATATAGAAGGGAAGTTGGAGAGAAGAAATATCATCAAGGATTATTCTGATTATGCATCACAGGTCTATGGACCTCTATCTCGCCTTGGTCGTTTCACAGACAACAACTCAGAGGACTTTGTAGTAAAAAACCACTATCTCAACACCTATGAAGGTAAGCAATTCACATAATTACAAGTCTAGTATAAGAGGATTATCTTAGAAATATAAATATATAAAATATAGCAGTTTAGATTAAAAGCTAATCAAAAATTAAAATATTTGCAAGAAATAGCAATTACATTAGTATTATTAATAATATGAGTTCATAGAAACCAATAAAAACTTCTAAGACCCAAATAAATAAATGGATACACTGTGCAACAATTTATTAAGGAGTAAAGTCAATAAACTACTAAACATTTAAACATGTTTAATGTCAGTAAAATCAAAGTTTTGCAAAAATGAAATAGAAAAAGATTTTATACCAGGTTTGTGAAGCAAACAAGAAATATATAATGAAATCGGCTCTTTATGAAGAAATGCCAGAAAACTAGTGGGCAAGGGGATGGATAAGTAGGGGATAAATTAGTGGAGAGGGTTATACCTGTTATAAAGTCCAAGAGAGGCTTTTTAAAATTATTTAAATTTCAGTTGAGAGGTTGGAGTATCACATGGCCAAGATCATGAGTTGATGCTCACACAATTGAACTTGCACGTCTGGCTGACCATCTCCAGAGCTGAATATGATAACCTGGTGTACATCCACTTTAGAATGGTGGTGCCATGTTTCATATGATCAATAATTTTCTGTCTATTATTGTGGAATGTTACATTTTTGTAGGGCAATGTTTTCATTTTAGAATGCATTTCTTATTTTATAATCTAAGTCATCAAGAATATAAGTTAATTATATAGAAATTTCCTTTATATTTCAGGGACAATTCAATTATATGAGGTACACCTTATCAATAATTCTAAATGAAACCACTTGGCAAACAGCTACTAAAATTAACAGCATGCTTTCAAATGATGTATTTAAGCACCGGATACTAAACATGTACTTCCTTCCTACAGGGTTAGTCGAACTTGAGTCATGTCTCCCAGATTTTGTGACACAACCCCGAATCAGATCTCCAAAACCAAAAGTCACTACCACCAAAGATGGTTTTCTAAAGAGGGCTGCAAGGATGGACCATGAGTTGGCAGAGTTTCATAAGGTATAATTCTTATCTGGAAGACAAGATGCTTCTAGTGTGACTTTTACAGAGATATACTACACTCCAAAAATTGTACTTTGTCTTGGGCAGCAATGTCCAGTAGTTCTCAACACACAAGCCTACATTCTTTCTCCTCTCTAGACTTTTCTACCAGTTACCTGTGCTGTGCCGATCAGTGCTGTTCCCCCTCATTTCAAACTGTAGGGAAACCTCTTAGAGGTTATTCTCCCCATTTGCAGAAGTCACGCTACTTTCTAAAAGTTGTTCTGACTTTGGATCTACACAATAAAATGTGACACAACACTGAGGTGTAACAAGTTTCTAGGGTTCAGGATTACTGTTGATTTTAATAGTGTAATAGGCCTCATTTTCTCCCTTTTAGATCTGTTACCAGGGCATCATGAAGAAAGGGAGTCATGTTCAGCATCCCACTCATCTAGTTTAAACTCAACTAAATGAGAAAGTTTGACGGTCATCTCCCATGAGCCAGCTGTATAGCTTCATCCGTCAGCTTCGCTTTCTCTTTTGTTAATTGGACTATAGGTGTCCACACTTGGATACATTTGAATCCTTAGTATATGACAGTGGTGCTCTATCTTTAGCCTGCATCAGAATCACCTGGAGGGCTTGTTAAAACACATGTTGCTGGGCCTCACCCCCAAAGTTTCTGATTCAGTAGGGGTGGGACTGGATTACTTGCATTTTTTGCAAGTTTCTAGGGGATGCTGATGCTGCAGGAACCACACTTTGAGACTCACTGACTTAAGACATACCCTCATCACTGGTCCATGTATGTTTGTTTGTTCAGTTAATAATAGCATAAAGATCCATGGGAGCCCACACTCAAGATAAAAATTAGGACCTTGATAATCATTTACTTATATCTGTGTGGTTCTTTCCCACATTATCCCCATCTCCATTTACTGATTCTGAATTCTATGTTTATCATTTTCTCACTTTCTGTAAGATTTTTGGTAGATATTCTTTATTAGAGTATGGAAGTTCCCTTTTATTCCTAATTCACTGAAGCTTTTTAATCATGTGTTTATGTTGATTTTTATCAAATGTTTTGTCTGTATCTATTGAGATAATTATATATTTTTTCTTTAAAAAATTATTATTGTAATAGGGAATATTTATAGTTTTTTACAGATATTAAACTGTCCTCACATACTTATTAGGAACATAACTTGGTCAGGATGTATTATTTTTATACGTTATTGGATTTGATTTACTGATATTTTGTTCAGAATTTTTTTTCGTATTCATGAGTGAAATGGCCTTATTTTTCTTTCTCAGTTTGACTATATGTGGCATCGGTGTCAGAGTTATACAGGTCTTCTGAAATGAATTGGGGGGTATTCCTTCTTTCCTACTTTGAAAAGAGTTTAAATAAGTTTGAGATGATCTTTTTCTTCAGTTTGGTAGAATATTCATATAAAATTATCTGAGACGGATGTTTTCTTCATGGGAAAAATTGTAAGCACTCCTTCAATTTCCTTACAACTTACAGAACTTTCTGCAGCATTTTGGTAAATTATATTTTCTTTACAAATTCCGTTTCACCTAACTTTTCAGATTTTTTTGCATATGGTTGTTGATAGTATTATCAATACTTTAAAATCTTTTTAGTGTTTATCTATAATCATGCCCACTCTTTTCATTCATAATATTATTTATTTGTGCTTTAACTCTTTTTCCTTAATCAATTTTACTGGAGGCTTGTTTATTTTCTTGGTATTTTTTTCAAACATTTGAACTTTTGATTTTGTTGATTTTCTCTATGTAAATTTTTTTCAATTACATTAATTCCCACTCATATTTATTTTATCTTTCTTTCTCCTTTCTTTGGGTTAGTTTTGTGGTTCTTTTCCTAACTTAAAATAGACATGTAGCTCATTAATTTTCAGGCACTCATCAGTTTTATATAATATTTAAAGCTAACCATTTCCTTCAAAACACTGATTTTGGTACATCCCATTAGTTTTGACATATAGTTTGGCATTATCATTAATATCTAATTTTTTAAAACATCCATTGTGATTTTTGGACCTGTGAGTATTTAACAATGTGTTTAAAATTTCCAAATATGCAGGAATTGTAACTAATTTTCTAATGAATTTCTCAATTGCTCTATCGTCAGAGATCTTAGCCTGTATGATACCTATTCTTTTAAATTTAGTGAGGCTTGCTTTGTGAACTAGTATAGTATATGTGATTTTACATATAAAATAATCTAAATCCACCTTCAAATAATACTATAACTACACGTGTCATGCAGATACCTTATAGTAGATTATTCCCAATTCCTCCCTACTGTCCCTGTGACATTGCTCATTCATTTCATTGATCCATATGCTATAATCACCCAATACATTTTTACTATCATATCATTTACTATCAATACATTTTTACTATCACTATGATTTAACAGTTATACTTTAGATCAATTAAAAATAAGAAAAAATATTTCATTTTATCTTTATTTATTCCATCTTTTCCACTTTTCCTTTCTTATATAGATCCAAGTTTCTGACGTATGTCATTTTGCTCCTGCCTGAAGAACTTGTTTTACCATTTATTACAGGGCAGGTCTGCTGGAAATGAACTCCTTCAGTTTTTATTTGTCTCAGAAAGTCTGTATGAATCATTTACTTTCTTTGACATATAATTCACATACCATAAAGTTAACCCTTGTATACAATTCAGTTATGTGTAGCATACTTATAAGATTGTTCTACCATCAACACTGTCTAATTCCAGAACATTCTCATCATCCTCAAAAGAAACCCCATACCCATTAGCAGTCACAACCAATTACCCTCTTCCCTGTACCACCTGGCAACCACTAATTTCCTTTCTTTTTATGGATTTGCCTATTCTGTACATTTCATATAAATACAACGATACAACATATGGCCTTTTGTGTTTGGCTTCCTTCATGTAGCATAATGTCTTCAAAGTTCATCCATGTTGGAGCATGTCTCAGTATTTACTTACTTTTTATGCTTGCATAATATTCCATTGTGTGGATATACCACATTTTGTTAATCTACGTATCAGTTGATGGAAATTTGAGTTGTTTCTACTTTTTGTCTATTTTTGTATAAATAATGCTGATATGCACATTCATGTACATGTTTTTTAGTTTTCTTGGGTCTATACCTAGGAGTAATTTCTGCGTCACATGGTAACTCTATATTATACTTTTTGAGGAGCTGCCAGACTGTTAAAAGTGGCTGCACTATTTTACATTCCCACCAGCAATGTATGCGTGTTCCAATTTTTGCACATCTTTTCCATCTCTTGTTATTTTCCATCTTTCTTATTGTAGCCATCCTAGAGTGTGTGAGGGGATATATCACTGTGGATTTGATTTGTATTTGTCTAATAATTAATGAATTTTGTCACCTTTTCATGTTATTTGTATATCTTTTTTGGAGAAATGTCTATTCAGATACTCTGCTTATTTTTTAATTGAGTTTCTTTTTATTGTTTATCATAAACATTATTTTTAATGTTTGTATTGGTTTTTAAAAATTTTTAATTTTATATTTTTTTTATACAGCAGGTTCTTATTAGTCATCAATTTTATATACATCAGTGTACATGTCAGACCCAATCTCCCAATTCATCCCACCACCACCCCAACCCCCCGGCCACTTTCCCCTCTTGGTGTCCATATTTTGTTCTCTACATCTGTGTCTCAATTTCTGTCCTGCAAACCAGTTCATCTGTACCATTTTTCTAGGTTCCACATATATGTGTTAATATGCGATATTTGTTTTTCTCTTTCTGACTTACTTCATTATGACAGTCTCTAGATTCATCCACATCTCTACAAATGACCCAATTTCGTGCCTTTTTATGGCTGAGTAATATTCCATTGTATATATGTACCACATCTTCTTTATCCATTCATCTGTTGATGGGTATTTAGGTTGCCTCCATGACCTGGCTATTGTAAACAGTGCTGCAATGAACATTGGGGTGCATGTGTCTTTTTGAATTATGGTTTTCTCTGGGTGTATGCACAGTAGTGGGATGGCTGGGTCATATGGTAATTCTATTTTTAGTTTTTTAAGGAACGTCCATACTGTTCTCCATAGTGGCTGTATCAATTTACATTCCCACCAACAGTGCAAGAGGGATCCCTTTTCTCCACACCCTCTCCAGCTTTTGTTGTTTGTAGATTTTCTGATGATGCCCATTCTAACTGGTGTGAGGTGATACTTCATTGTAGTTTTGATTTGCATTTCTCTAATAGTTAGTGATGTTGAGCAGCTTTTAATGTTCTTGGCCATCTGTATGTCTTCTTTGGAGAAATGTCTATTTAGGTCTTCTGCCCATTTTTGTATTGGGTTGTTTGTTTCTTTAATATTGAGCTGCATGAGCTGTTTATATATTTTGGAGATTAATCCTTTGTCCGTTGATTCGTTTGCAAATATTTTCTCCCATTCTGAGGGTTTTCTTTTCATCTTGTTTATGGTTACCTTTGCTGTGCAAAAGTTTTGAAGTTTCATTAGGTCCCATTTCTTTATTTTTGTTTTTATTTCCATTACTCTAGGAGGTGGATCAAAAAAGATTTTGCTGTGATTTATGTCAAAGTGTGTTCTTCCTATGTTTTCCTCTAAGAGTTTTATAGTGTCCAGTCTTACATTTAGATCTCTAATCCATTTTGAGTTTATTTTTGAGTATGGTGTTAGGGAGTGTTCTAATTTCATTCTTTTACATGTAGCCGTCCAGTTTTCCCAGCACCACTTATTGAAGACACTGTCTTTTCTCCATTGTATATCCTTGCCTCCTTTGTCATAGATTAGTTGACCATAGGTGTGTGGGTTTATCTCTGGGCTTTCTATCTTGGTCCATTGATCTATATTTCTGTTTTTGTGCCAGTACCATACTGTCTTGATTACTGTAGCTTTGTAGTATAGTCTGAAGTCAGGGAGTCTGATTCGTCCAGCTCTGCTTTTTTCCCTCAAGACTGCTTTGGCTATTCG